TTCTCTCTGCTTGATTTGCTTGTGACTTACTAGTACTGGTATAATCAGTATTACTATCAATGTTGTGCGGAGAATTACTACTAGCTACTAACCGCATGGATTGCAGTTGTTATTGTTGTTGCTGCTGTGGTGAGTGAAAGACAACGTCCAATGAGGGGGACACCACCTGGAGTTCACCATCCTATCTTCTTCATCATCGTACCCTTTTCCCTTCATTCTGTTTTTGCTTTACCTCCCCATCCTCCAAAGAGCAGCCAACTTCTCCATCTTCAAGCCTTCTCGTGTCATCATCATCATCAACATCTTCTTGACCTACATCATATGACTCTGTGATTATTGATGTTCTTCTTCTTCTTCTTCTTGTTCTTGTTGTTCTTGTTGTTGACGTTGTGTTGTTGCTGCTGCTGATGACAAGGCACAGTCCGACTGGCACTGAAGGATAGACTACAAGATCAGACAACGGGGTACTGTTTGTGATTGAAAGTTTCAAAAGCATGAACACCAAAAGGGACGAGGGTGACACTGGTTGCGGTCGAGGATTGGAAGGAAAGGGACCATCGCCAGACACTCCAACATTCAATTTGTTTCGTTTCATTGTCGCCATCAACATCTTCACATTTTCATTACCTCCATCATATGATAAGCTGGGGAAGATCTTGTTGTTCCTGTTGTTGTCGGGCTGTCGTTTTTGTTGCCGTCGTCGTCGCTGTTGTTGTCTTGTTGCTGTTGCACAAGACAGGCAAAATCCGACTGACACGACAACGTAGAATACAAGAACAGATAAGGACGACAACGCCTCCGATAGATTGCACCCCATCCTCTTCCTTTGATCTCTATGACCTACTTCCCCATCCTCCCCCAAACAAAATTAGCCGGTCAATCTTCGACCCTTCTCGTTTTGTACTCGTCTTTGCCATATTAATTGTTTGTTTCTGCGGTTGTTGATATTGTTGTTGGTTGAACGGGGACCCAGTTCACGGTTCAACCTTGGTGTTATTCTTGTTGTTGTTGTTGTTCTTGTTGTTGGTGTTGGTGTCGGTGTTGTTGACCCCCGAGATCCCCCGGGCTTACAAAGGGGCTTGAGATTTCGAATTGCATGTCGGAAGAAAAGGCTGGAAACGTACACGCGCCAAGGAAAATAACGGGACATTCATGCCAATATACTGTTGGTTTTGGTACTGACGGTCACGGCTTGTTCATGTCCACGGTTGTTCATATTGTTTACTAATGTTCTCATCTGTGTATGAGCGCAGTATTTACAGGCGTTTTGATTGGTCGCCAGTTTCTTTCGCAAGATTTTACCCGCTGGTGTGTGAAATCCCTAGCCCTCTGTTTAATGCGGTGTTTACAGGCTTCTTGCTCGGTGGCGGCTCACCTCCGCCAGATTTTGCCAGCAGATGAAATCCTTGAACGTCGTGTTAACGCGGTGTTTACAAGTCTTTTGCTCGGTCGTGGCTCACTTCCGCCAGATTTTGCCAGCAGATGTGTGAAATGCCTAGCCGTGTTTTTATTTCGGTATTTACAGGCGTTCTGTTTGGTCGCCACTCATTTCCGTCAGATTTTACCAGCAGATGTGTGAAATCCGTAGCCCTTTGTTTAATGCGGTGTTTACAAGTTTTTTGCTCGGTGGCGGCTCACTTCCGCCAGATTTTGCCAACAGATGTGTGAAATCCCTAGCCGTCGTTTTAACGCGGTGTTTACAGGTCTTTTGCTCGGTCGCGGTTCACTTCCGCCAGATTTTGCCAACGGATGTGGGAAATCAGTAGCCATTGTTTTAATGTGTCGATGTTTGTTGAGTTCACTTGTTTTTAAGGGGAGCTTCTTTTGTTTCCGTTGGAAATCATTCGGAATCGAAAACAGGTTTCAAGGGAAGCAGTTTGGAGCTGAACAGGCCCATGTAAATCAAGGTCCTGCGTACGCCCCATCATCATACCAGTAACTACACATTGCCACTCTACTGAGTACTTTTATTGTTACATAGCCACACACAATTCAAAACTTAGTACTACAATCTTTTGTGTTTCATAAGGTGGGCGAGGGAGACGAGGGGAAGGGTCGGCGTGGAGGACGAGGATGCAGGGGGGGATGCGAAAGGCAGAAAGGGAGCGAGGGTGGGGGGGGAGAGAGAGAGAGACTGGGGCGAGGGGGGAGGGGGGCAGGGTCTAGGGAATGGGTGGGGGAGCTGCAGGGCCAGGGTTTTTAAATAACTGAAACAATTCAGATAATTAAAATCAGCTGGTTTTAATTATTTAAATTACTTTGGAAGATTGAGAAATGAAATCATTGAATTAAGTAAAATCTACCGGTTTTTAATTAGTTTTATTATTTCGGCGGTCTGCGAATTGAACTAATAAGACTAATTAAAATAGCCTTCTATACAAGCCAAGGGCCCGTGATCCCAGGAATTTTAAAATAGTTGATATAACGAAAACAGTTGAAACATAAAACAGTCAAAGTTAGCTGGTTTTTGTTATTTTAACTGTTTCGGTGGGCTGCGAATTGAAATAACTGAAATAATTTAAACCAGCTGGTTTAATTATTCTAATTAATTTGGAAAATTGCGATTTTGAATAAGTGAAAAACTCAAAATCGGCTGATTTTGATTTTTTTAATATTTAAAGTATGTCAATTGTTTTGATTGTTCAAAATCCCTGGGATGGGTTGCTCACTTAGGAGTTTATAAGTAATGTAGTTGTTTTAGTTATTCAACTATTTCGGCGGGCTGCGAATTGAAATAATTAAAACAGACCTCTATACATGCCAAGGAGGCCCCGATCCCAGGGATTTTTAAACAGTTTAAAAAATTGAACTAGTGGTTGCGAATCAAAATAATTGAAAAACGAAAATCGGCTTTTGTAATTGTTTTAATGGTTTCAATTATTCTAATGATTTAAAATCCCTGGGATGGGCTGCTCACTTGGAGTAGATAAGTGTTTTACTTATTCTACTCATTTTGATTGTTTCGGTGGGCTGCGAATTGAAATAGTTAGAATAACCCTCTATATATGTCAAGGGACCGCCGATCCCAAGGATTGTAAATAATTGAAATAATGAAATTAACTAAACAAAAAGAAGTAAAATCAGCTGATTTTCATTATTTTAGTTTTCGAGTTGCTGCGAATTAAAATAACTGAAATAATTATAATCGGCCGATGTACTTGACATATTTCGGGAGGTTGCGAATTGTCATAATTCACATGATTAAAATCGGCCGATTTTATTAATCATTTTCAATTATTTCGATTATTTAACAATCCCTGGGATCGTCTGCTCCCTCAGAGCAGAAACTAATATTGATTGTTCTAACGATTTTAAGTATTTCGGCAAGCTGCGAATTGAAATGTTTGAAATACTTAAAACCAGCAATTATTTTAATTATTTTGGGAGATTGCGAATTGAAACAAGTAAAATTATTGAAATCGGCCGATGTCAATTCTTTTAATTGTTTTGAGGGGCTGCGAATTAAAATACTTAAAATAATAGAAGCGGCTCGTTAAATAGACCCTAGAGGCATCTCTCTCTCTCTCTCTCATATATATATATATACGTATGTACAGTACATACACACACATACGTGCACATACAGACGCGCACATGCTCCAGACACATCATGCAGATTTAGCTGCATGCATGCACACATTCATGAAATCTCATGAACACATACACAGACACACACACACACACACATGCACACGTTGCAGTGCATGCATGCATACGCTCATGCATGCACATACACACCTCGTTACACCACATTCGTCAGGTTGTATATACTTGTATACACATACAATCATGCATACATACATACATGCATACATACATACGTATTTAAACACACACACACACACACGCTCACATGCACATGCACTTTGTGTACAGACTCATCCAATAGTTTATTCTGCGACACGATGTCAGAACCGTAGACTGACTGCAAAACCGTGGCATGTTCTGTTCTTCGTGCACCAAGTCGTGACGTGACGGTTTGTCCGTATGCCCCGCCACCTGAAAGTTCATCCACATCCAGGATGTGTCTGTCGGAACTCTGCTTTCAACCATCGACAAGGCAGGAAGCGGGCGCATCCAGCAGCTTGTTCGAGATAAGAATGTGAGGATGTCCAGACGTTGTCTCCCGCATCCCTCTCTCTCTCTCTCTCGCTTTTTTGCTGCTCTGTTTCTACACTCGTGTAGATTGGGGTATAAGGATGATTCTCATGTCGATTGCTATGAGTTCAAGAGTACTGCAGTGATAGTCCGTGTTAGGAGTGGAAGTCGCTGTCGTTTTTTGTAGTGGTGCTGGAGACTTTTGTGCGACTCTCCGAGCGACCAGACACCGCTGTCGGAGAGCTTGTTACTTCAGAGCAATGTGTCCACCTGCTGCGACAAGAGATTCTTTTTTGCAGTGGCATGAGGCCCTTGCGAGGCCAGAGATTAGCTGCAGCAGCTGTAAGGTACGATGATTTCGTGGATTGGCTGGGTGGAAATCAAGGTGGGCATGCATTTCTTGGCTCCGATTAGGGTATCGCGGTATCGCACTTCAGCATGCCAGCTTTGCTAATTGAAAGCTTTTGTGTCTCTCGGTCTCCTTTGATGAATGCACGTCAGATCTCGGCTTGCACTGGTGGTGAGATCTCCGCAAACAATCAACATGCAAACAGTCAATATCGTACACTGTGATACTTCTTGGATGGTCACTGGTTTTTGTTGTTGGCTGTTACTGGACAGTGATTTTGTCTCGCGACAGCAGGAAGCTATACTCTGCAAACAGCCGGACTGAGCAACGGAGAAGCCTATCTCATCTTCGCCTTTTGCAGGCGGCGGGCCTTGTGACACCACGCTTGCAGAGAATTTCCGCTCAGCGCTCTGCGGCTGCACAGCTCTCTTTTGTTCGCCACGGAAACGGCGGCTTCGAGCTTCTAGATTCTAGAACATGATACAGCCCCGAAGCCCGGAGCTTCGGTACGCCAGACTTGCAATAAAGAAGCCGCGCTGTAAGGTACCGGCGCATGTCCATCAGCTCGGAAGAATCTGACGACGGTCGGGCCGGCGAAGCTTCCCAAAGTCTAGGCGCGGCTATCCAACATAGCCGACCAGGTGCATGCCCGTCGGATCGAATGTAGATAGGCAACTGTGTGTGTGTGTGTGTGCGTGTGTGTGTGTGTGTGTGCGTGTCGTGCCGGCATTTTCAGGATGCATGCGTGCAAGTGTACATCGGCAAGGCCAGTGTCTTTATTCTTAGTTGTTTCTCTTTGTCCGTATGTATTTATACGTAAACGCATGTGGATGTATGTCAGAAAGAATTAGGTACTTATATGCATGTACGTAAGAACTTAGCCACTTACTCATGTATGCATGTATGTTCGCACGTACGAGCGTACCCACATACCTATGTATGTATGTATGCATGCATGCATGCATGTACATAGTTCTGTGTGTATGTTTATATGTATGTATGTATGTATGTATGTATGTATGTATGTATGTAACAGCATATGTATGTATGTATGTATGTATGTACGTAACAGCGTATGTATGTGTGTATGTATGTATGTATGCATGCAACTTTATGTAATTATGCAGCTGCTGTATGTAACTGTATGTATGTATGTATGTATGTATGTATGTGTGTATGTATGTACGTGTATGTGTATGTTCATGTGTATCTGTATGTGTATGTGTACGTATGTGTTTGTCTCTGTATGTATGTATGTATGTATGTATGTACGTACGTACGTATGTATGTATGTATGTATGTATGTGGGTATATATGTATGTACATACAAACGACTATGCATGTAGGCAGGCAGCTAGCTGGCCTGGAATGTCGGTAGGTGGGTGTGTATGTATGTGTGTATGTCTGTGTTTATATGTGTATATATATATATAGATTTGTATACGTAGGTTGCTGCATGTTTACGTAGGTATGTGCATGCATGCGTATGTATGCGTATACATACATTTACATACATATACATACATATATACATCTATATATGTCTGTATGTTTGTATGTATATGCGTATGTATGCATGTAAGTGTGTTTATGTGTGTATATATGTATGTATCTGCAAGGTTATGTATGCATGTTTGGTTTTCTGCATGCTTGTGCATGTACAGCTATGTGTGTGTGTGTATGTACTCGTATGTGTATGTGTGTGTATGTATAGGTGTGATTCTGTATGTGTAAGTGTCTGTATGTGTCTGTGCCTGTGCCTTGTGACGTGCATGTGTATGTAGCTATTTTCGTATGTGTTTCTGTGTTTGTCTGGACATAAATTTGTATGTGTGTGTATGTAGGTGTATCTATATGTATATTTGTGCGTATGTGTATGTATGTGTATGTATGTTCAAGTATGTACGTACAACATGTATGTATATGTATGATTGTATATGTTTCCCAAACAGTGTGCTAACGCTCTATAAGTGATAAGTTCTTTCGTTATCTGCGTAGGGGGTATTGGTTTAGGTGTTTGCGCAGCTCCCGGCATCCTGGTGGTCTCGCGTTGGTCTCCTGCCGGCCGGGTGGTGTCTGGGTGGTCTCCGTCCGAACTCCGAGATCTTCTCCTGGCGGTTTTACTGGACTGCAACCCCAAGTGCTGCGTCAGATCTAGAACCTTTCCCCAAGTCCTACGACCAGGAGATGCAGAGAGAGTTTTGGTCCATCTATACAGCGGGTCAGAAAAAACTCTTGCCCCCTCGGGTTCGTGAGTCTTTTCAGAATTGGAGCATTTGGTGGTGTCTCCAATCGGCAGCGGAATGAAACGGCTCCTGCGCATGCACGAGGATCTTGCCTCGATCAGGCGATCTCGACAAAGCAGGAGCCGACGACAAGTCCAAGAAGAAGCCACCAAAGCGTGGCAAGGGCAGCGACGGCGCCTGTGATTTCCTTGAGCTTTCCAGTTTCTGTCTTGGGGGCTCAAGTTGTATCAATTTGTAATTTCAGAACGCTGTTATTTTATGCGCATGTTGAGTGTTGAGCTAGCCGAGGTGCTGGTGTCAAGTGTGACAAGACGCTCGAGTTTGGGAAGCCAATTCGCAATGTGCCGCGCTGGAGTAATTAGTTTTTCATGCAGAGACGAAAACCCGAGCTTGCTTGGGAAACCCAGACGGCTAGGCCTCCATAAATTGGTCTTTTGTTCCCAGCAGGCTTCGCCGGGATTCAGGACACATCACATAGATCAGCCTTATCCCACCAGCCGCGATGGCATATTGACAAGAACGTAACACCTATGGCAGGAGCCAACAGTGGATCATCGAGTCGAGCTGCCTCGAGCCGACTGCATGACATGTCCTTAAATAATGCGACAAACAGCGCAGCCCGTTTCATGAAAGAAGTCATCTCTGTGAATTGGACTGTGCTGCAACAGTAACCACTTTGTTCTTTTTATAAGTTTTGTTTTCGTTTCCTGGTGTCTACCTGCCAAATCCAACAAGTTCATAGGGGAGTTTGGCAGACTTCCTAGTTCTTTTTTGGTTGACGTTTGCTTCCCTCTCCCTCTCTCTCTCTCTCTGTCAATCACGCTTTATCTCGCTCGTCATCACAACTCACCAACTGGACACGTGGACCGCAATTCAGATTCCTGCTTGTTCTCTCCTTCGCCGTGCTCACTCGCTCGCTTTGTAATCGCCTCTCTCCCTCTCTCTCTCGCTTCCTTGTGGTCATCTGAGAGTATTCTGTATGGCCTGTCCAGAAGTTAACTTGAGACCGTGATCTGCCTTTTAAGATAGGGACGTCTTGAAGATATGTAAACAAGCGGAAAATGAAAGGATAAGTATTCATTTCACACATGGAAAGCAGAAGAAGCACACACTCAGATTAACAACGGCTAGCACACGGAGAATGTAAAGCATAGCACCATAGACACCTGTACACCAGAATACAAACAGAGACAACATAGACGACCAGGAAAGTCAAACCGATCGCAAATAGCAAACTATGACAGCAACACATAATGAAGAAAACAACATAAACACCAAGAGCATGTAGAAACCATAGAGCAGTTTTTCAACACGTACAAAGACACAAAAAACCAGAGACGAACATGTGTAGATATACATTTTTACCTACATAAATATTGCTCTGCCGCTCTCTTTCTACATCGTTCATTCAGTAGTTTGTCTCACTCTCTGTCTGTTTCTAGTGTTCGTTCTGTTGATCTTTGCCTCTCTCCTTTCTCTTACGAACCGTCTTAATGTCCCTCAGTCACACTGATTACATGACCGATGCGATGAGGCCATCTGCGTCGGCAGCGAAGTCTGGACCGTTGATTGGCACGGCGTCGCGACTGTTCGCGACCGTCTCTCGTCGGCCTTTCTGTATATATATATATATAT